AATTTGAAACACCACAAAAATTATTGAATATCTGTCGCCCCCTTCCCATAAAATTTGAAACAGCTCGTTAATTTCCTTGTGTTTATATCTCAATCAACCTCAAAAGTCTTCATGCTCGTTTGACTAATCTCAGATCATGATAAGCAAGTTGCTGGAGATGAATTGCTTTTTTTATTATGATATCATAATGATAAGATTTGATCTAAAATCTCACCCCAAAACATCTCCTAGAAAACCCAAAAACTGTGAAAATTCACGTATAATTATTAGGATTAAGTCTCAGCGATAGCTCCGCAAGAATTCCGAAGGAGAATTCACTGAGCTGTTTTCCAAAAGGTCCAGTTTCTCTAATTTCTTACTCTTACTATCTCAACGACCTAAGCCTTTCAGTTTTGGGACTTCATTTCAACAAAAATACAATGAGAACAAAGAACCTGTCAGGTATTCGCTCAACTATTTCGCAATTTGATATAAAAATTTTAAAGCACGGTTTGGAGAATTCGCCACTAGATCAAGATGAGTTTTGAGGAATTTTTCATAATAATTCTTCTATCTATACAGCTAATGTAAACGGCAATGCAGCGTATACGCGCCGGAACGCGCTGAGATGGCGGATGCGGGGTATGGCGTGCGTAATCGCCAAGACTGAGTTTTCGGAATCATCAATGATATCTGTTGGAAACAACATTGAACATTAAAATATTTGCATGAAGTGGATGGCTCAATCAATAAATCGCTCGCTTTCATAAGAAAAGAAAAGCACCAAGCTATGAAGAAAAGGTGCAGCTGAGGAAATCTAGTAAATCAATGTGACATGCCCAGTATTCATTTTGGTCCTCCAACAATTTCAACATAATAAATAGTAAAGTTTTAAGTTAAGCAACTTTATTGCTCAATGTACATAATCGATACATAAATCGTATTGATTGATTGTCATCATTCGTACAACAAATGCTAGCCAAAGTTGTGATATTGGGTATCAGAAAAAATTGATTTTTGGCATTAACCCAACTCTCCCGCATCTTCTGCATCATCTTCAAGTGTCATTTGATCTCTGGTTTCGTAGAGTATGCATTTGTGATCACCCCATTTAACCTGCACATTTAACATTCACAGCAAACATACATTCTTGGCTGCTGCAAAAAACGCCACAACTCGTCCCACTCACACTCCGCATAGGGCTTGCGTCCTCCTTCTTTACTTCATCCTCCTTCGTGTCTTCCTTTGACTTCATCTCTTCCTCCAATTTTTCAAGCTGAGCTTTTTGCTTCTTAGGGTCCTGCACAAAAGCAGCATTAACTGAATCGCAATTAGAAGTCAAAACCACGACTTACTGCTTGTTCATCATCGATATTACCAATTTTCTTAACTAATAATGGATTCACAACTGTCTGTGCAATGGCAGCTCTAACAACAAAGTCATTTAAGTCCACCTGAAAACAGGAGTACACAGCATTCGTCATTAAAGGAAAGGTACGTACATCGGGTGGTGGTTTTTTCAAAGCTTCTGAGAAATCCACTTGAGCTTCTGGCCATCCTTTCCTACAAAGAGGGATACACTTTGGGCGGAAAAGAATTAATGGTCTAAGTCTCATACGTCTTCCTCTATAAGCCCCCTAACGGTGAAAAAACCTTCGTGACTAGTAGCTTTTCCAGGTTGGCTCGATCGAAGAATTGGTTTGAGCATCCCCTACTTCTTCTTGTAGGATGATGAGTTAAGTAATCACTGGCAAGCCCTGTCGGTTAAATCATCTCTTAGGAGAAACCGCTATAACTCGGAATATGTCATGGTTGAAAATCCTACAGATGC